GAGTGACCTATAGGTAGATTTAGGGGTCAACATAACACAACGAATACGTGATTATGGCAAATTCCACACACTACACATGTCTAATTTGCATGTCGTGGTGCTTTGTGCCCATGCCCTTCATAATACGAATGAATTGTGGATTCTATGTATACCCAAGCTAAATTATTGAGTGTGTACAATAAACCATTCAATGTAATGCGAAACCAAACCTTTTGGCACATTATGACGGTGAAATAGTGACCTATGACATAAATATGTGAAAAAAAAGTTAAATAAAAGTTAATAAATTTATAGTAATTTGTATTGATTTATGGTGTAAAATAAGTTCTAAGATAATTCACTTTTATGATTTCAATTCTCAAAAGGATATCGATGACAAAATAAAAATAAATAATTTGTAATTGATTCATAGTGCAATAATAGTACTCGTATGGGTGACAAAGAATCGAATTAGTTAAAAAATATTTAAAACTCAATTCAATAAGTAATTTGTTGAATTTGGTTCATGAATCAAATAAGTTGAACTTGAACTCAATAAATAAATGAGTTAAACTTGAGTTGCATATACTTTAGCTCGTTTGTTTTATAATTTAGATTGACATATAAATATATAATTTATATAATTAATTTTCTATTTAATTTTAACTTATTAAAAATTGATAGAACCTTTAAAACTTAAGAAAATGTATTGGATTGAGATTTCATAAGACTATTTTAGCACAAAAAAATCTTGTGAAATTTAAAAGACTTTATAGAAATATATTGACTTTTAAGATTTTTTCAAAAGACTTTTATAATTAGAATTTCATGATATAGATTTTAATGGATTTATATAATATGAATTTACAAAACTTTGAAGGATCTTATGAGATTTCAAAAGATAATATAGTTTTTTTTTATAAAAAAAAGATAAAATTAATAACAAATTACATATATAATAAAGTTTGAGTAAAGAAAAATAAAATCAATATAATCTTTTAATAAATTATTGACTCTAACTTCATGTCTTCTAAAGTAACATTTCTCTCTCTGTATATGCATTGATTTTCTCATTCATGTAATTGAGTTTTGAACATAATATTTAAATTTATGATATTTATTTACCAATAAATTCTCAAAATTGACCTGACATAATGGGCTAGTTTGTTGGTCCGTCAAGTCAATGTAGATTGAACACTTTATTTTTAGGTTTGAAAAAGGTCAAGTCAATTCATCTTTGTCTAATGGGCTAATCAAGTTAGGTTGGATTAGTAAAAATTATGCTAAAAAGGTACCGAGCCTATTTGGTCCAATGATTTTCCCCCTTTAATTTAAAATAAATAATTATTTTTGAGTTATATTAATTTAATTATATATGCACACATATCAAATTAATTATATAAATAGAGAAACTTTCACTTTCATAATTACACACACTCAATGTTCTATTTTCATCTTTTTTGAAAATATATTTCACATACTAATTTTATAAATAACATAAAAAAATCTCTTAAATTGTGTTTGGATGAAAAAACTTAAAAGTTGAAATGCTTGAAATTTTAATTATTTTGATAGAATAATTTAATTCAAATTTCTTAAACTTTAAATACTTAGTTTTCACAAATACAAAAATTTATTTTGTATTATATGATTTAAAAATTGATATTTCAATATTAAATTTTATTTTAAAAAATATTAATTAAATTTGAATAATTTAAAATTTTAACATTAGATAATATTTAATAATTTGAAAATAAATTTAAATATTTAATCATTTAAGAAATAAATATTGATAAACAAAAAAATATAGAAAGAAAAATTAGAAGATGAAAAGATAAATGAGAAAGAAGAATTGAAAGACAAAAGATGAGATAGAAAAGAGAAAATGAGAGAAAGAGAGAAGATGATAGAGAAGAAAAAGAGAGAAATAAGAAAAATAAGAAAAAAGATTAAGGAGAGAGAAGAAGAAAAAAGAACATAAATACATAACTGATTATACAAAACTTTAAAAGTTTTGGTGAAATTATTAAATGAATAAATTCTATATAAATTTATTAAAAAATCTCACAAAATCAGTCCTTTAAAATAATTCATCAAAATATTTATATTTTTGAATATCAATAATTTTTTAAAGTAAAAAAGTCTTAATTGAATATTATTAGATTTAACTTTTAAAAAAAAAATTAACTGTTGTTGAATACACCAACACACTCTTAAGAAAAGTCATGTTTATCTTAATCAAATATTACATGACTTATTTATATTAAAATCCTAATTTCAATATAACTTTTTTTTATAAATTAATAATAATAACTGTAATGACCCGCCATGGTCTCTATACTCAGTGGAATCGCACTATTACTAGTAAACTAAGAGAAATATTAAGCTAGATAACTCATACATACAGGTATAAATAAGAATGACAATAACTAAGTTTCTGGTTATACAATAGAATACCATGTATGTACAGTCATCCCAAAAATAATATTCCCTAGTGCCGGTCAAGCATAGACAAAATCGTTATCCAAAATAGTAACTCTAACACGAGGATCAAACTCCTCGTCTTGCAGCGGTCACCTCAACTCCAAGCTAGCCCTAACCTACTTCCATACCAAGTATGATCATCACAGTTCCACCACATGGAAACAGAAGGGTAAGCTAGATTTCAAAAATCAATCATACAAGTACAGAACAATAATTTATACTACATAATCATCCAACTATCAATCATGTTCATAGAGTCACACCATACTCTATCCAATACTACTCATGCATAAAATACAATCCATCAATCATGAAGCCAAACACCACACACTTCATCATATTAACAATCATGCAATAAATGCATCTCATGACAGATATTAATGCATATCAATCATCATCACAAACGACCATACAGTTCAACATAAAAACTCAACTCATTCATACAACTTAGAAGCAACTTTAATACAACAACAACAACAACAATAATATACAACTTAATATTTAATGTGTCGTCACGCATGTACAACTGGGAGATCTCCAACAATTGAGGTTAAGCAGTCTAGGTGGCATAAACCCTACCGAATTCAGCGTTTGACCTATCTCAACCAGGTCAGGTATAGGACATCGTTAGGAACTCCGAAGAGAACCAGGTATAGACAACAATAGGTGATTGCTTAGGTGTGCCACTTAGACTTAGAGGTCCAGTACTACTGTCGTGACAGAAGGGTTTGGGTATGAGCCTACCACGGCCTTGACTAGCATCACCAATCCACATATGGAGTTAGTCCACCCATTGTCCTCCAAGTACCACGCACCTTCTAGTATCTAGTCAAAGGCTACATCTCTAACTAGATACCTTACTCAAATTGGTCATTCAACCATGACATGGATCGACTACTTCCATGTCGTCCACACAGTACTAAGGGATTCAACTTTAAAACAACTTTCAACTTATCTCCTTAGTACTGTGTATCTCAATATAGGACATATATCTTCACCATATGTCCCCAACTTTTCAACTTTACAACAATAGGTAGCTTTATAACTTTACGGCAATAAACAACTTTACAACTTTATGGCAATAGACAACTTTACAACTTTACAACTATAGGCATCATAACAACTCTACAACAATAGGCATCTTTATCATAATAAGCAACTTACAATAATACAACAATAGACATCTTACAACAATAGACAACTTACAACAATACAACATTAGGCATCTTACAACGATAGACGACTTACAACAATTCAACAATAGGCAACTTATATATCAGTTTGACAACTTTCTATTCAACTATATCACTATACAACTTTAATAATTTTAACAACATGTGAACAACTTAATTCCACCAATTACATAACATATAAGCTTCATGCAGTTCAAAAAGGAACTTAGATTCAACACATCAAAATCATCAAAAATCCCATTTTTCCCAAAACCTCGAAAAATGAGAAAGCTCTCAAATCAATAAATGATTCTCAACATTTTTACTCCATATGAGTTCCTAAACTCATATATAACCAAACAACATACAATCTAGCTTCCCTTACCTGAAAATTAGCTCTAAAAGCCAAGAATCTGAGAAGAAGAAAAAGAAGAAGAAATATCCTCTAAGCTTGACTCTTGAACTTCAATCCTTCAAAAATAAGCTTTCTAGTCCAAAGTTCTTCTCTCTAAAACCTCTCATTCTCCTCAACTACCCCCAACCCCTATTTATAGAAGTTCAAGAGTGGCCAGAATGGCTCGTTTCGAATCCGGAACGACCCGTTCTACACCCCCTCATCATGTGCAAAAATCACATGCAGAACGGCCCATTCTGAAACCAGAACTGCCCGTTTTGGGATTCATCAAGAACGGCCTGTTCTCCATCCAAAACGGTTCGTACTCCCTCCAGAACGCCCCGTACTCCATCCAGAACGGCTCATACTCCATCCAGAACGGCCCGTACTCCATCTAGAACAGCCCGTTCTCAACTACGATTTACATTTCAATTTAGTAGTTTGGAACGGTCCGTTCCATATTAGGAACAACCCGTTCTAGGCTATTAAATCACCCATATTGGACTTTTGGGCCTTCTAAAATAACTTACTACGTTACAATAACAATAAAATAAGTTAATATTTTATAATTTAATAATTATAAATTAAATTTTTTATTATTTTATATAATGTGAAATAATTATTATTTATACAAATTATGATTGTATTTATATTTTATTTTTGGAATTATATTTGTAAATTTAATATAAAACAAGTAGCATTTTATTTTATTTTTAAATTAAATAACTATTTTATTTAAAATTTATTATTAAATAAAAATTTTAAAATATATAAAAGAAAAAAAATTATATATTTTTTTCATATAATTCCAAGTAATGAACTTAACTAAATTGTTAATAAAACTTAAATTGAATTGGACTCATTTTGGCTCTAAGTACATGGTAAAATATAAGTTTTTTTTTTTTTTAGATATTTGTTTTTCTTTAAATTTATTTTAGAACAATTTAATTTTGTTATTAATTATAATTTCCCCTTGGGTTGATCTGTGTCTCAAGTTGGGCAACTCGCTGGGTCTCCCCCAACATCTGGTTTCTGCACCCTCTTCGATCCTTCTAGGGTTAGGGTTTGGTTCCCTCTTCGCTTCGTTTCAATCCCTGCAAGAGCGTGAGGCGCCTCCCGAGAAACGCCATGGGAGGTGACAGTGCCGTTGAGGAATCCGAAGCAGTCGACGTCAACATCAACGTTCGCTGTTCCAACGGTTCCAAGTTTTCCGTTCAGATTACCGTTGATTCCACCGTCGCTTCCTTCAAGGATCTCGTCGCTCGCAACTGCGACATCCCCGCCGAACAACAGCGTCTCATTTACAAGGGTCGCATCTTGAAGGACGATCAAACTCTCCGAAGCTACGGTATTTCCATAATCCCTTCTCGCCGGTGTTATTTTATAATTTTTTTAAAAAATGATTTTTTATGAATTAAATGGTGTTTGGGTAGGTATTATAGATTCTGTGCAGTTGATGAAGGTGTTCATGCGATTCTGATTGTATTTTAATTAATGCTTGGCTGGTTAGTCAAATAAAATGGCTCAACTCGACATGGAATATGAGTTATGATCGGTTAGGATTTTAAAGGGAATACTGTGTCGCGTTTCTTAACCTATTTCTAAGGGAAGATGAGGTGTTTTATGTGGAAGTGAAGGGTGTTATTTTCTCAACCTGAGGGAGATTGTGAGTGCTTCCGTGACTTGTGATGCCCTGCTGCTATTTTTTATCCTTTTTTTTCTTTATTTAGAAGAAAATGAAGGATAGGGTGGACAGGATAAAAGGAAAAAGGCCATTGGAAGCTTCATTGACTGAGTATTTTTTATGTTTTGTCAATTTTATGCATAAGGAAGGTATGGGTAAAATGGCAAAGTTGGATATTGTTATTGCATGTATCCTCAAAGATAATACTAAAATGTGCCCTTAGGTTGTTAGCTAAGGAATCAAAAGTGAGAAGTTTTTATGGAAAAGTAACACAGCAATTTTTGTTAATAACTTTCTATTTATTAGTTACTTAACCAGTGTTCTTAGGTTAGTCATTAGCAGGATCCTTAATATTTCATCACTATCATTCATGCCGTATTCTTGAAAATCGGAAATATCTTTCAAGCATGTCACAGACAGATTCTTCAGAATGTAATAACTCTCTTTTTTGCCTTTGTGTGGCTTAAGAATAATGTAGGATTAATTTGTTGATGATCCCCAGAAGTTTTTGCTAGCATAGCCTGTATTAGGTAAATTTTATATTGTGTTCCTCAAAAGCAGCCGACACCTGTTCACGCTAAACTCCAAGGTTGTTAAGAAAGTATTCCTTAAATGGGTGAGCATAACTCAAATTTCTATTAATCTTTATAGGTTTGGAGGCAGATCATACTGTCCATTTGGTTCGTGGCTTTGCATCTGCCAATACAACTGGTGGGACCAATACTAGTAGCAACAATACCAATACCACAACAAATAATGCCCGAGGTGCTGGTGTGAATGAAGGTGGGGGTTTAGGAGGGCCTGGTGTTGGTGTTGGAGCTTCACTATTCCCTGGACTTGGTATCAATGGGACTGGGGGCAATGGTTTATTTGGCGAGGGATTTCCTGATCTTGAACAGATGCAGCAACCATTTATTTCAAATCCCAATTTAGTGAGAGAAATAATGAATTCACCTGCCATGCAGAATCTAATAAATAATCCAGAGGTAGTGCGGAATCTTATAATGAATAATCCACAGATGCAAGAGCTCATGGATCGAAACCCCGAGCTAGCACACATTCTTAATGATCCCAGCACTCTCCGCCAGACCCTTGAAGCTACAAGGAACCCTGAGATCATGCGTGAAATGATGAGAAATACAGACAGAGCAATGAGCAACATTGAATCTTCTCCTGAGGGATTCAACATGCTGAGGCGCATGTATGAAAATATTCAAGAACCATTTTTGAATGCCACCACGATGGCTGGTAATACAGGACATAATAATGCAGCAATTTCAGGGACTCATGGTGTCCATGCCAGGGATCAATCAAATAATCCCTCAACCACTAGTTCTGAGGCAACTGCTGGTTCTCCGTTGCCCAATACTAATCCACTTCCAAATCCTTGGTCCTCAACTGGAAGTAAGTTCTGATACTACATTTTTTTTTCTTAGGATCCTGTGACTGAGTGTCACTTTACATCAGGTTGTTTTAAAAGCAATTCTCCTTAAGCTAATATTTTTTTCTGTTTTAAGGATACTGACTGCAAATTTTCATCATACTGTCATTATTGATGGTGAACATTATATTTGTAGCTGGAGGTGCTCAAAGTCAAAATAACACCAGAAGGTCATCAACCACTGGTGGGGATGCTAGGCAGCAAGGACCTACTGGCTTGGGAGGGCTTGGTCTGCCAGACCTTGAAAGCATGCTGGGTGGAAGTGCTATGCCAGATGCTGCTTTATTGACCCAGTTAATGCAAAATCCAGCTATCTCACAAATGATGCAAAGTATGCTTTCCAACCCACAAACTTTGAATCAGGTATTTACATACCGTACCTAGTACAAGTATAGCATGCTATGTGCACACGTTGAACTGATCCTTCTGATATCGAATTGACATTTTAGATTCTTGGTGTTAATTCTGAGCAGCGCGGCATGCCGGATTTAAATTCTCTTAGAGAAGTAATGCAAAATCCAGAATTTCTTCGTTTGTTTTCTTCACCCGAGACACTGCAGGTAGGCATATTTAAAGTTCTATATCTCTTGATGTGTTTCAATGAATATTCATTCTCAAGTGTAGGGTTGGGTATGTGTCTTTGCTTGCATTAATAATTATGTGGCCTAATACTCAGAATTTCATTCATTCAAATGTTGCCACAGATATTTGCATATAGTTTCATTGCGATGAATTCTAGTAGTTCTTAGTATGAAAAATAATGAGCATTCAGACCTAAACCGGCCAAGGGCAGGATAGGTCAATGTTTGAAAGAAAACCCTCCTACCTAGTACCTAAGCATTTTTTGGGGATTTTTTTTTTTTGTAAATTTGCAGGCTTTCAGCAGAAAATTTATTATATGAATTATGATATAGAATGATAGAGGCCGTATTGCCTGCTATGCAGTTTCATAATTCCTTGCTTTCAGTTGATATTCTCACAACTCTGCCTTATTGCACAATGACAGCAACTTTTGTCTTTCCAGCAAGCTCTTATGTCTCAGCTTGGTCAGCAACAATCGACACGGTAAGCAGTTCTTTATCCTGACCTTTCCATACACACCTGGTATTGTTGTGCTCATCCTTAAAAATAAATAAACTTTGAATGTGGTGAAGTCTCTATCCTTTTTCATCAATGTAGTTATTTGCTAAGCCCCACTCACTAGCACACCCAATGCAGATTACCTTAGGCTTAGATGCCTCATTTGACATCCACAAATAAGTGGTTGTATAAGCATTTTTGCATTTAATTTTTCGTGATTACTTGCACAATCCTATTAATTTATAGCTTCATTTTCTCTGCTAATGCTTATAAGATACTGTGCTTGAAAGCCAATTGTTTTTAATATCTTCACATTAACAATAATTGAATAATTTTAAATGTCTGTCCAAGAGAGCAGGTCTGCATTGCATTTTTATTTTTAAGGAAGTCCAGAAATGGAGATAGCTGATTAAGGTGTGTAATGTCTTTTTAAAATCCAAATTAGATGATGTCCTTCATCATGTATCATGTCATTGACTCAGGTATTTGGAAGTAAAAAATTTGGTTTCTATTCTATTACATGCTTTAATTTTTTTATAAAGGGAAGTGAAGTTGCTTTGTGAGCTTGGAAATTCTATATTCTTCTTACTAAACCATATGGTACTTCTTGCATTGCAAGCATCTATCAAAATCTGCATTCAACATTTCCCAGTACTTAACAGTACTTAAGGTATAAATCTTGATGTGGTGGGTGCCATAGTTAATGTTTGGTATGGTCGATGTCATTGCTTAGACTAGTTTGGTGGTGGTTTATGTTTTAGATGGCCTAATATGTTAAAATACAACATGCATATATGTCCTTGTTGACTTCTTTTCCTCATCATTTTTTGCTCGTGTGATTTTCTATTAACCTGCTAAGCTTCAACAGGGAATCTGGTCAAACTGGCGGGGGCACTGGTACGCAAGACAACCCTTTATTTTTATTCTCTTGGTTTCTGTTAATATAAACTATTAATTTTTAAATCATTGCTATGATATTGCATTGTCAATTAAAATTGCTTTTCATCTCTTTAGATGATTCGTCATGCTTGAGTTATATGGATAATAAAAAAATTTAGGCTAACTTATATTTTTAACCCTCTAATTTTAAGATTCATTTTAGTCCCACTATTTTTAATAGATTCAAATTTGTCCTTTAATTTTTGAAAAATGTTCAATGTTGTCATTCCGTTCAAATTAACATTAATAACATTAATGAAATTAGATAAAAGGACAACATTAAACATTTTTTGAAAATTATAGGACCAAATTGAACATTTAAAAATAGTGGATCAACTTGAATAAAAAATTATCTAACATTTTTGTCTAGATAAATTTGAATTTTCTTTTATTTACCTTAATAAAATAAGATCATGATGACAACAAATAGTATTTGGACTTAAAAAAATGGTCACAAAATGAAGGAGTTATATAATAAAAGAAGTTATTAAATAGTTAAAAGAAAATTCAAATTTATCTAGATAAAAAAATGTTAGATAAATTTTTGCTCAATTTAGTTCCTCTTTTTGAAATGTTCATTTTGGTCTCACTATTTTTAAATAATTCAATTTGGTCCTCTAATTTTTTAAAGATGTTCAATGATGTCCTTTTGTTTGATCACATTAATGCCGCTAGTGCCAATTTAGACAAAAGGATAACATTGAAAATTTTAAAAAAATTAGAGGATCAAATTGAACAATCTAAAAATAGTGGACCAAAATGAATCTTAAAAATAGAGGGACCAAAAGTATAATTTAACCAAAATTTTATAAATTGGTTGAACATAATGTAATGTTGATGATATTCAGGTTAGCAGGGGATTTATTTATTTTCTTCTGATTTGCTTAAAATGAGAATCAAAATGAGAAATTGATCATGGCTTGTACTTTGATGACTCCTTTACTCAGATTTTTCTTTTGTGGTTCATAAGTAACAAAATCTGGGTGTGGGTGTTTAAAAAGTTATGGAGCTTGGCAGAGGGGAAATGCCTAAAATCCTTTCAGAACTATATTTAAGCCCATTAAAGCCCCATGACCCATTAATTCATATCCTACAGTATCATTAGAAGGACCAGATGCATTAAACAAATCTTTTGGTCTGATTGTATCCCTAGTAATGAAAGGGGGAAGTTTCAAGTTAGGTGGTGGCTGTTTTGGATGATGCAACTGCCATTTGATTACTAGCATAAATCGGAATAGTTGATTGAAATTTCTATGGAATGATTTTATTGGTAGGACCAATGAACAACTTGGGATTGGAGATGTTATCGAGCATGTTTGGTGGACTTGGGTCTGGTAGCCTTGCTGTTCCTAATAGATCAAATGGTTAGCATTACTGTCTTCTAGTTTTTTTTCCTTCTAATTAATTGTGTTTGGTTCAACTTATTTTGGAGAAATAATGTTTTCTACTTTTTCCAGTCAGCTTGCTGAGAGCTTTTGAAAGAGTAATTATTTCCCATAGAAAAATTGTTCCCAAACATGGGCAAAATTATATTGATCTGTAGCTTCCTATACGATTACGATATTTTTTAGTTCCTCACTGGGTCTCCAATTTTAAAAGAGTTCCAATTTCTATTAAAGTTCTTGCCTCTAGAAGAGCAATTAAACTTCTAACAGTAAACTGAATTCGGGCTCTAAATTTATTTTAAAACTATGGAGTCTCAAAATGATTTTATTTGCCCCAATTTAACTGTGCTGAGTCGGGATCCAATTTGAAAATTATGATACGCAAAACTGCATTATAAACATTCAAAATAAAGGGATGTCCTAAAATATCCCCCAAAACATGGTGTTATTTACCTAAATTTTTCATTGCTCTCACCGACTTTGTTGTCTTTTCAGAGCCACCGGAGCAATTGTATGCCACCCAACTTTCACAGCTTCAAGAAATGGGATTCTTTGACACACAGGAGAACATAAGGGCTCTCATTGCCACTTCGGGGAATGTTCATGCAGCAGTTGAACGACTATTGGGGAACTCTGGTCAGTAGCAGACAATGTTGGCAATTTCCTTTTGGTCAAGTTCACTTATGTTGATTTCCGTGGTTGATCACTTTGAAATCAGTAGTGTTCAGGCGCCTTGTTGGGTATTTGAATAAAATCAGAAATCTGTCCAAATTGTAGTGGTCAGAGCTGAAATGGTGTAGGTTATATACATTGGACTGTGATTGTTCCTTCTAGTGGTCCAATTTCTTCATGTACATACTTATATTGAAACTAGTTTTAGACGCAGCAGGAGAGCTTTAACATTTTGAAATGAATTGATTTTTTGTTTGGATGAATGCTTAATAACTCCATAATTACTGATTTGGCCGGTGGAAGGGGATGTGAGACTTATCTGTTAAAATATAAAATGGTAGAGGTAATATGAACTACCAAATTGATTGATTTAGCTTCTATGTCAGTCATGTTTTTTTTTTTGAACAAATATGTAGAATTTCTTTTTTCTCCCAAGTATCTAAAGTACGTTCTCTAAGTTAGCTTAATGGTACATAAATTATTTTGCCTTAAGTTCTGTAACATCCTGACCGCTGTCATTTGCAATTTTCTCTCAAACACTTCTAACTGGCTTTTTCGTCATATTAAATTAAAAAAAATTATTAAAATAAATTAATAAAAATATTATTTATCATATTAAATAATTTTGGTTACGTCAGATTTCTAGAAAATGTCAAGTGACGCTTTCATGCATACACGGATGGGAGAGACATGTTCACATAGGAGAGAGGGGCCTTTTGTATGGCAACACAAAATGTCACCATGGTTGACGTTTTGTGCACATGCACAAATCAATGAAAATTGTCACTATGGTTGACGTTTTGTGCATGAAGTGCAAAATGTCATATTGGCTAACGTTTTGCTACATATGTCCACTTATCCTCTGTGCTTAGTGTTCAATGCTCGTTCTAGTAAAAAATTACAGGCTTGTGAACGTAAAGTCTCATTCGCGTGAATGTAAAGTCTCATCATTTCTCTAGCTAAGTGTGAAGGTAAATTTATTATCCTTGACTACTTGTGAAGCATCTCAGTAGAAGTTTTATTATATATATGAAGGAACTATTCTCTTCATTCTGTAGTCCTCAATTCTTCAATTGATATTTTCATTTTGCAACTTTTCTCTTCATTCTCATATCTCTATCTCTTGATTCTGCATATTTCTACTTTCATTTTCAAAATGTCTTTCATTTCCTTATTGTATTATAATGTTAGTAGAATTAACAATAATCAAGGTTGCATTTTTACAGGTAACACGAAAATAATTCGTCTAAATCATGGATTGGATTTTGAATCTTTAAAGAAAAAAATTCATGCCAAATTGAAATTGCATCATAACCAAATTGTTCCTAACATCACTTGTAGATATTTATAATCTCTGAATCCCATTTTTTATCTAGCTGGAGAAATTGCAGACGATGAAGATGTTGCATGCATGCTTAATGGTTTTGAACGCCAAAGTTATATGGTTATGGTAGAATTATATGTCAATGTTGATATTGTTGACACATCTTCTTTTTCTTTACAAGATTTAACTACAACAGAAGAAGCGCATCAACCTCCAGTTTTAACACATTCAAATGTAATGAGTAGTCACCATTAGTTTGAGCAAAAAAATTTGCCACCAATAAATCATCTTGATTCAAACGTTGATTTTGCAACAAATTTAAGTGATGATGATGATATCAATGTTGAACAAGATGATGAAATTGCAGATGATAGCTCATCAGATGAAGGTAACATTGATAGTAATGATAATCGTATGATAAAAATGCAATCACCATTTGATGTTGAGCCTCTCAAAATGAATGAATCAGGTAATTACAAAATTTTTTGTACTGTCATTTTAATTTAGTAATATTTATTATTGAAAGTGTCTTGTCACCGTATAGGTCCATTACTACCTCAATTTTGGAGCAATACTCCACATTATACTTACATTGATTGGTCTCATCCAAATCAAGAGATGTGGTATGGTGGGTTAGATGTTCTCAATTATTTGCGCGTTGGGGATGAGTTATATGTTGGGCTACATTTTCATACGAAAGTTGATGTCCAAATGACTGTTAAACACTACTCTATGAATGCTCACTAGACATTTGTAGTTGTTAAGTCTGGATTGAAGGTTTTATCTGTACAATGGCCTAATAATAATGAAGGTTGCCCTTGGAAACTAAGGGCTATAATGCCCACTAAGTACAATAACAAGTGGGTCATAAAGAAATGGAGTGGTCGACACACATGCATTAATGCAATGTTGTCTTAAGATCACAACAAATTGGACTCTGAATTCATTTGCTCTTGTATATTAGGTAATTTCATCTATACATACTCTTCAAATATTTAAAAATAAAGGTTATTTTTGTAATAACTATTAGTAGTATGCTTAACATTTCATTTCAGGAATCATCAGGGAAAAGACTTCCATGTCAATTTCATTAATTCAAGAAAGAATAAGTGGACAATTTAATTATAAGGTTTCATACAGGAAGGCCTGGAAAGCAAAACAAAAAGTCATTTCAAGAGTTTTTGGTGATTAGGAAGATTCACACGACCTTTAGCCAAGGTGGTTGGATATGATGCTAGAATGTTGTTCTAGGTCTACTTATAGACTTGAGACAACAAATTATGTGTCCAATAATGTTGTTGATGCACGTTTCCGCAAGTTTTGCCATGTGTTTTAGACATTCAAACCTACTTGTGATGCATTCAACTACACAAAACCCATCATACAAATTGATGAAATATTTTTATATGGGAAACATCACGACACTCTACTAATCGCTACAACATAAGATGACAATGCTCACGTTTTACCAATTGCTTTTGTTGTAGTTGAAGGTGAAACATTAAGTGATTGGTCATGGTTGTTGTCAAACATTTGTCGATATGTAACTACAAAGTAAGGTATTTGTTTAATATCAAATCGACACCAAAGCATCAAATCAAGTGTGGCAAATCAAAATAATGGTTGGCAACCACCTTATGACTATCATGTCTATTATATTAGTCACATTGCAAACAATTTCAACCATCGGTTTAAAAACGTCAAACTCAAAGAAGAGCTGATTCACATGTGTATAATATTATTTCCTTCTTATATTCTATGTTTTTCATACTACATAATATGTTATGCTATTACCTAATGTTAATATTTGCGGTAAAATTTGGACAGGCTACACAACTTGCAAACATAATTTTGTTAGGAAGGTTGAACAATTTCGTGAGATAAGTCTAGAAATTCGTCGATGGATTGATGGGATTTCATTAGAAAAATGGAGCCTCACCCATGATGACGAAGGTCACAGATACGATCACATGACTACAAACTTGTCTAAGGCTGTCTGCAAGATCTTAAAGGGTGCCCGTAACCTGCCAATAACAACTCTTGTAAAGTGTATATATGCTAGGTTAGTTGAATATTTTGGGACAAGATTAGGTCAAGCAAATGCAGAGTTTACAGTTGGTCAACGATATTGTCCAAAGCTAATGGATGCTATGCAGAACAACTAAGAGGAGACAACATCTCATTTTGTTCGAAGATATGACTATGAGGCCACCAGATTTGAAGTGGAAGAAGCTTTGAATCCAGTTACACAAAGAGGTGGTCATACTTGGATAGTACTTCTTAATGAACGAAAATGTGAGTGTGGTGCTTTTCAAGCTTACAGATATCCATGTTCACATATCATTGTCGCATGTGCTTATGTTCGCATATATCACTTGACCTATGTTGATGCTACCTATTCAAAAGCATATATCAAAGAGGCATATTCTGGCCAATGGTACCCACTTGGTAGTGATGAAAACATTCGTCCTACCAACGGACCTCGCATTGTCCCTGACCAAAGTATGTTGCGTGCTAAAGGCCATCCAAAATCAACTCGTATAAGAAATGAAATGGATTGGACAGAGTCATAACGAAGGCAACGTTGTGGACATTGTAGGGTTGAAGGTCATAATAGGACAAACTGTCTGCAACTAGCATTAAATATCATTGATGACCTAAATCATTAATGTGTATATGGAGTTTAAATGTGTAGTAGTACGAGCTTCTTGTGTCCAAACATGATCTAACCTTATTTCCCACTCGTGGACAAAGACAACGTGCTGAACTCGCGAATCAATATCATCTTTGCCACGTAGAGTTAGATTATGCAAATTATCTAGTTGACGTGGAGGACCACGAATGTGTTGTATCATGCCAAACTGGCACATCAAATGGTCAACATGGTGATACTTAATTATATGAAAATCTATTAATGAAACTACCACTCTCCAAATATTTGTGTTCTCTACCCAATATGGTGGTAGAAAATGAAAATATTGAAGGTATGACTGCCAAACAAACTGCACACAAAAAATACAAAAAGACATAAAGTAATACTAATTTCAAGATATTCACTTTAAAATTGCAAACCCTAGAAACTATTAACATACATCTTTATCCTTCATCTTATCTAACGCATCCCGAATCTGAACAAGAGTTCTTTGCATCACCTGAAAGACACTATTCCACCTGAAAATAAAAAAATTAACAAATTAATTAAAAATACTTATCTATTGTTAAATATAATATTAAATAAGCCAATTTAATTTAAAATATTACCTTGCACCTAAAGGGACGCCAACAATATTTAGTGGTGCAGTCAGGGGTGCAAAATACGACATCTGATACCATGCCCACAACTACTGTAAAACAAATGCCCCACTAATTTCTTTATTATCATAATTAGTGGCAACACATAGCTCTCTATATAAATGAGCAAGCAATGCTGATCCCCGACTAAGTTGGCCACATTGGTCTAAATCTGTTAACATGACCAAATATCCCATAAGTACTAGAGTTGAAGACTTGTAAGAGAAAAGCATACCCTTAAGCAACCACAAAATATAAGCTCAGACATATCGTTCCATTTGTTGCACACTGTGGACATGCATGGACACATCAAAAAAGTATTGATCAACCCAACTCATAATTAGCCTTCCACCTTTAATTGTAGCTGGTGGTGGTGTAATTCCAAACAAGTCTTCAACAAGTGAAACCCATCTATATGTAGAACAATCTGTAATTGGGTCACCATGTACCTTAAGACTAAGTAAAATTGAAACATCTTCCAATGTAATTGTACACTCTTCAAATGTCATGTGAAAAGTGTGTGTTTTAGGTCTCCACCGCTCAACTAATCCTGAAATTAACTGGTGGTCAATAAGAAAGTATGACAATGCTGCCACTCCCAGCATCCCTGCTCGTGCAAGATAAGGTCTAACTTGATGTATCTCGATGGCCGCTTTTGGTAGCTCTTCTAATACGAAGAACTCTATCAAGCTCACGATTCCATATGTGCTCACAAACATGAATTGATTGCATAGTTAGTAAAGAATCATCAATGGGTCCCGTATTAACTCTTTGACGAGGCACACACACACACGATAAAAAATATTTCCCATGAACAAATCTATAACCTAAAAATATCAAATACTATTGTTATTATTATTATTATTAAAATCAACTTACAATTAAACATAATAAATTCTAAACCCTAAAGAAAATATTCTTATATTACTAAATCATTATTATATAATTAAACCATATAAACAATAATATTTTTCACCCTTTGAGGTCAGGGGTTCGAATCCTGCCTTGTGTATGCAGCCGCATTAAATGTTGGGGCCAGCTATCCCACCCTTTGAGGTGCCTCTAACGTAGCGAGGAGATTTGTCACCGCTATTGACGGTGGATACTCTAGGGACGAACAAAAAAAAACCATATAAACAATAATATTAATTCTTCATTTTACTTAACAACACAATTATTTTCACATGCATAAAAAATTAATCATCACCAAATTTTTCACGTATATAAATTTTAAGCTTATAAAATATACATGAAATTAAAAACATATAATTATTTTAAACAATTAAAAAAACTTACACTTTTAAACCTCAATTTAATTAAAAAAATAATTAATTTCTTATAAATCATATTTTATACCACACAATAAATTTAATTGCAAATTAAAACTATAACTAATGATCAAAAAATATTTCACATAAAAAAATCTATAATCTAAAAATTTAAATAAAAAATATTAAACATTCTTATTATTATTAAAATAAGCTTACAATTAAACATAATAAATTCCAAACCCTAAAGAAAATATTCTTATATTACTAAATTATTATTATATAGTTAAAATCATACAAGCAATAATATTAATTCCTCATTTTACTTAACAACACAATTATTTTCACATACATAAAAATTTAAACATCATTAAATTTTCCACATATATAAATATTATAAAAATATACTTAAAATTAACAACATAAATATTATAAAAATTAATACTTTAAATAAATAAAAATGAAATAAATATTATAAATAAATTACCTTCTCCTTTCTTCTTCTCTTCTCTTCTCTTTTTTTTTTTCCTTCTTCCTTCTTCGCTCTTCACTCTTGTCGCTCTCCCTCAACAATGACTCTCCCCCTCAGCCTGACCTTCTTTTAAAGTGAAGAAGAGAATCTTCACGTTCCTGAGATGAACATATGCAGATGCAGTAAAACAGTGAAAACTAAATGGCGAGTGAACAAAATTGTCAAGCCAAGTGAATTCTATTATTTTTTTGGTCAAACCAGCCTACGCACCTCAGTAACAATGCATGCATCCCTTTTTGTTCCAATGCATGTGCCTCTATAACAAGTTCAACAAGTCATGGGCCTCCAATGCAGGCCACGCAAGCTCAGGGTTCTTAACATTTGTAAGACAAAGCAAATCAAACAAAGTATACAATTGTCTATCATGTTCTTAACATTTGTAAGTATTGAATGTTATTCTTGTTGGGTCTTCTCAAATACTCAGATCCAAATATATTGTAGACACCCCTTATAAACTTGTCCAAGCATTATAATGTTGTGGTTTCTCCAATTTGAACATACACAATGACACTATCGGCAAGTGATGCATATGCTAATATGCGAATAAAAACAATGCATTTTTGAAATGGGAAAAGGCCCATCCTCCCAGTTGCATCAACTCTCAACTAAAAATATTAATCTTTATTGTTATAGGGGAATAGAGCATCAAATAGATCTTGTGCCTGGGGCTAGTCTTCCAAATAGACCAGTTTATAGGACTAATCCACAAGAAACCAAAGAGATAGAGAAGCAAGTACAAGAGTTGTTGGAGAAGGGCTGGATTCAAAAGAGTCTAAGTCCTTGTGCTGTACCTGTCATTTTGGTGCCAAAAAAAGATGGAAAATGGAGGATGTGTTGTGACTGTAGAGCCATCAACAACATCACCATAAAATATAGGCACCCAATTCCTAGGCTTGATGACATGCTTGATGAATTGCATGGGTCATCCATATTTTCCAAGGTAGATCTTAAGAGTGGATATCACCAAATTAGAATCAAAGAAGGTGATGAGTGGAAAACCGCTTTTAAGACTAAGTTTGGATTATATGAATGGTTAGTAATGCC